AAAATATCTTGCTTTTTGCTCATGCATTAAATATGAACAGCTCTTTATATTGAAATATCACATCCACAGCAAAAGTTTTCATTTATTTCTCCCAGCTCAGTATCCAGCCTTAGGATGTCCCCGTCATCCACAATACATCAAACATTCCACTGGCCTGAAATTCGCCACATATACTGATGCTATCAGCTGCCGTGTGTTCCCTTCTCATCTAACCTCTTCTCAGCATGTGAAGGGATTTAACACTAAAATAACATGCATATCAATGAGAGAAAGAGTGCAATGGTTCATTTGAAGAAGCCTGAAACCAATCTGCAGGTGTAAACAACCGCTGATGCATCAAAACCAACGCAGCAAATTCATCAGACTGTGATTTATGCAATACTCAGGGGGGGAAAAAAAGCACTGATCCATCACTTTAATGAAAACTGAAAATGCTGGGTATAATGTAGCCCTGAACTCAAGTGAGAGGTGTTATAAATAAAGAACAAATATTACATCATGGCAATTAATAGTGAAGCCGGTCATGTCAGCATTGACAGCATTAATCTGGAGCATTCCATACATAGGAAAACCGATTTGCTGCGCCAATGATCATAACACAATCATTAATTTGCACAAAAACATCTTTTACGAGATCATATGTAGCCTGTGTGTACCTATACATCCAGGAATCTAATAAAGCCTTGACGTGTTGTCTTACTGAACAGCGTAAGACACAATAAATCAAATGAACTAGATTTATTTCAATAGAACTTGTAAAGCAATACTTAGCGCTTTACATTACAAAGAGAGAGATATTTGTGCATTCTTGTGAGTGATGAATGATGTTTTTATGTGCTCTACTGGATAGAGACAGCACTGGCAACCATTACATGGTTGATTACAATAGACTTATTTTGTCTCTGCAGGCTTAGTGTCAGTGCTGGTTAAACACATTCGGCTGATTTGGTGTTATAGCTACTGGCAAGAAACTCCCACAGATCTCCTATAATAACAGTTGCTATAAACTGTTTATTAGAAATACCTGGAGAGTTAGTGCAATTGCATTAGAAACCTCCTCCACAGGTTCTATTTATTTATTTATTTACTCAGCTATGTATTACAGCTACACTGAAATTCCTCAACAATTTAAACTACCAATATGCAGTGAAATGTGAAGGTGTTTGCAATGCAAAGCTCACTATCTACCAGGGGAATCTTCTTTTGTGTAATTTAGACTCTGAGAATGTTTTATCAGCTTTTACTGTAAGTTCAAGGACCAGCTTCCATATAGTTGTGCCTGTCCCATTTTTCAATTAGATCTGAGTCGATCTGAGGCAATCCCTGTGAGAATTCGAAGACTTGCTCCAACCATCTGTTTATCCAAGAATACATCATTCTCCTCTCTGCATATAGATTGCTATAGATTCAGTTATTGGGAATCCTCGACATATTTGGAACCCGAAATCCTCAACGATCCCAAGGAGTGGACTCGAGGATGTTCTTGTCCTATAGTCTGAGTTATGCGCATTCGAACACTTATCCCTTTCCTTCGAGACTCACGGATCGATGTGGGGCGTGTGCATTTTGGACAGTGCTGGTGTGGGCCCTAATTGGCTTTTATCTCTTTTAATAAAAGCACCCGATCCGTGTCTGACGCAGGGAGCCGAAACATGGCAGAGGTCGGGATCGATTCAGTTCAGCACAGGATGCTTTTCCCACCATCTGTTTAATTATTCAAACCAGCCAGCTGCCCGGAGGGAAAGTCCACGCAGAGCAAAACACATGGGAGATGTGGGAGAAAGACCCCAAATAGAGCAAGGATGAAGGCACGGTTTCCACGGGCACAGCAATAATACACAGTGATGAAGACAGCCTTGCACATTCCCAGCATGCAGACATTTCAGTGAAGAGGTGTGCATCAAACCATGTGGCATACGTCCTGCTGGTGTTTCCTGATTTGCCTGCACAGTTTACCCAAAGGAGACTTCACTCAGAAATTGGAAACACCCTTCATGTTATACATGCTTCCTTATTTTTCACTTTGCACATCTGCTTCTGGTGGTTCATGATTCCTCTGCTGTCCTCCTACACCATACCCATGCCAAATGTTTACAGCTGTTAAGTCTTTCACAAACCATCAGTGTCTCCTCTCCTTCACTTTGTGATTTTTTTGTGTTCTAGACAAGGAATTCCCAACTAGTTGGCCATGGACCAATCCAAACGGATGCTCATTTGGCCGACAATTTTATCCAAAGCGACTTACAGTTGAGACAGGATACAACTAAACAGTTGTGTTTCAGGGGTCCTGCTGGCAAGCTTGTCAGTGCTGGGATTTGAACTCACCACCTTTTGATTCCTAACCTAAAGCTTTAATCACCATGCCACCCAAATCCCATCACACCAACCTTTTTGGACACACACCAGTGCAGCCCATGTTGCACAGTATAATCCAGATTGTAAAGCAGGTGCGCAGAAGCATTAATGGAAAGGTTGCTGAGCATTGCAGATTCTTTAAAAAAAAAAAAAAAACCTGGCAAGCAACTCATTTTCTTCAATTTCTCGAGGTCGTACATGGTCGAAGGCCAAGAAAAAACCCCGTGCCTTCCTTCTCTCTATTATTATCAAGTAGTAATCTTAGAAATGAACAAGCTGCTGATGATGTGCTGTCAATCAATTAAGAAGTTAATTTCACAGTAACGGCAATTTCTGATCACTATGCACATACACACATACTGGCAAATGTGGATTCAAATATAGCATTAATAACACCAAGGATGAAGGTATTATCAAAACCTAGAGGTTAGAGTTCATTTAACTTGTAAAAAGCCCAATAGCACAGCAGGTAGGACTGTTACAGTACTGTGCACAACTTTTAGTCACCCTGTTTCTTTAGTACAAACTTTGTTATACATTTTTTACTTCATGACTTCTACATTATCGAATCAGGACAAAAAATATTTTAGATTCCCAAACATTAGTTTTTCAGCACAAAATGAAATGTTATAGAAAAATGTGGTAAGAGAAAATGAAAAGCGGTAAGACACACTTTTCAGATAAAAAAAAAACACAATAAACCCTGCTGGGTTTTGCTGCAAAAATAAGAAGCAAGTGCGACAGTCAGAGTCTCCATAAGACCCATGACTGGTTCTGCAAGATGCTCAATAACGCTTAGAGCTTTCCGTATAAAACTGCATTAATTGTTCCAGAGACTACTTTTTTTTTTTTTTTTGTCACACCAAATATTGACTTTGTTTCATTTACTATCGTTTACTGCTCTTTATGTTATTTTATGTAGAATAACTTCATTTTCATTATTTTGAAGGCATCTTTACTCTACAGCACTTCTTTGCGTGTGAATAAAAATTTTGCACAGTACTGTACATCAGAACTCCAGGGTCCCTGGTTCGATCTTGAGCTTCAGTTACTGTGTGTGTGGAGTTTCACATTTCTCCATCTTTCCACATGGGTTTCTGATAGGTGGATTGGTGAATAATGAATAAATGTGTGTGTGTGTGTGTGTGTGTGTGTGTGTGTGTGTGTGTGTGTGTGTGTGTGTGTGTGTGTGTGTGTGTGTGTGTATGTGTGTGCACACATAGTACCCTGTGATGGACTGACATCCCATCCAGGGTGTATTGCCATCTTAAGATATGCTCCAGATCCACCATTACTCTGAATGCAATTCCTATTTGTGATGCCAGCCTTTCCTGCTCTCCCCTCCACCTCCCACACAATGGTCTGTCAAAAATGTTATGGGGTGCTGTCTGGAAGTTATTGTTAAAAAAACTTGCAAACCCCTGATCTTGATGAACCCGCATGCCACATCCAAACATTGAACCTTTTAAACCTTAAATTGAGCAGCATTGGTATACATCGTCTAAAATCATGCCACTTGTCAGAGGCTTCCAGAAGACCACGAAGACGACATAAAAGCCTCTGGAACACAGAGACTCCATTAAACTCACCTGCCACTGAATATATGTAAATATTTATTTATTTATTTATTTATTTATTTTCACTGTGAACTTGTACAGCCTTTTGTATCACTTTTAAATCTAAATGCCATAATGGACCATTTCACAAATATAAAAGCCATAGAAGGGTACAAGACTACGTTTTATCTTTATTTTCACAGACTCCCTCCTACCAGATCTCTAAACACCTGAGAAAACTGTCACACTGGTAGGATCTCTGCCAAGGAATGAGAACGACTATAATTGAACATGTACTGAGTAAAAAGCTTTTAGTGGATTTTTCACTCCATATCTGTGGTCAAATTGCTCTGTTTTGGCATGTAATTTTATTCTAATACAGCACCACCTAATAGCACTAATTTATCATCATGCTGAGGGAGTGCAACAACAGCTTGCGTGACTATAGCGGTCTTGGAACATATGCTGATCACCACGAACAAGCAGTGAGAGAAAATGATTCACATCCAAATCCTCTACATGGACATGAGCTCAGTAGTCTGGGAGCTCAAGCTAAGCATCAGATCCATCATTTAAGAAATGATTGTCCAAAGGTAATGAGTCGAATCAAGCCAGTGGCTCACATGGCTCAATGACACCTATATGTGCTAGGACCTAAAAAATTGAATTGAAAAGGCAAGTAGCATCTGTTTCAATGTAATCATTCCAAGGGGTCTATGATTAATGATTCGACATGGGGTAAACCTGCATGTCTTCTTTAGAGAAGACGCTGTTGAAATGCATAGTTCGAGAAATTACCCCTACATCCTAAAACTCTTAAATACTAACAAATCTTGAATCCTGACCCCTTAAACTCCCAGGATGCATCGGCATGCCAGACTTACATTCCTCTTTCCCATTAGTTTCACTGTAATCATTAAATAATTCACAGTAAATACAATGAAATACGTTTTAAGGTGGCTTTGATTTGATTGCATCACAACATTTGGCAGACGCCTTCATCCAGAGCAACTTACAATTATTTCATTTTTATACAACTAAGCAGTTGAGGTTTAAGGGCCTTGCTCAAGGGCCCAATAGTGGCATCTTGGCAGTGCTGGGATTTGAACTCATGACCTTCTGATCATAAGTCTGCCATTTTAACTGCTGAGCTACCACTTCATTAATTGAAGTGACTTATGCTTGAAGTTTATTTTTAAGGCAGATATAAATAACAAAACTGATTGACGTTTATGATGAATTTCAGGGATTCACACAGATTCTGGCCACAGAAAACCTCCGGCCACAAATCACACTTTCCATAGAGTAAAAATGGCAAGAATTAAAAAGAACTTTTTTTTTTATATATAAATTTCAAACTGTCAGCTCAGTTTTGTTGGGTAATGTCCAAGTTAATGATTTTTGAATTATAATGTTTTTAATTCAACCCAGTTTCACAAAAAAAGGTTTGCATGCAAATTATTTGCAGCACCATATTCATATGTTGAATATGACCATGCTGGCACAAGCACATGTTGCATAGCAACATATCAAACTTTCAGTCAAATGCCCTGGATGAGAAGTTCTGCAACAACATACAGTATTTTGACCTACTTAACCTCTACCACTACACTATTTGAATAAGATCGATATAGAATAAATATATCTTACGTCGTTTTTTTTAACATATTGACCTTTGTGCACTTCATGTGTAAAATATTTGTGCTTTTCACGACAAATGATTACATGTAAAGAGCTCATGAAACTTCTCGTCTTCTCTAAAAACAGTTATGTGTTAAGTTATGTGGTGATGCAGTAAGGTTTTTTCAAAATGCAGAAAGTTTTTACCTAAATTCTTTAGGATACTGAGAATACAGAGACGTTCTGTGTTTTGAAAATACTCATGCACTCGTTGCCACATGATTTGCAAGTCCAGCTGTGTTTCAACATATGCGTATTACCTTAATTTAAAAAAAAGAATAATTATAATTCCAATTTATACAACACAACGTTTATTATTATTATTATTATTATTATTATTATTATTATTATTATTATTATTATTCCATCCATTCTCTGAAGCGCTTATGCTACATGGGGTCGCAGGAAGCCTGGAGTCTATCCCAAGGGACTCGGGGAACAAGGCGGGTAACACCGTGGATGGGGTGCCAACCCATCACAGGGAACAATCACGCACACACTTACACACCCATTCACACACTTCGGACAATTTAGAGATGCCAATCAGCCTAGAACGCATATCTTTGGACTGGTGGAGGAAACCAGAGTACCCGGAGGAAACCCCCAACCCACGGGGAGAACATACAAACTCCAAGCACACAGGGCGGAGGAGGGACTCTAACCACCAACCCTGGAGGTGTGAGGCAAATTATTATTATTGTTGTTATTACTATTAGTAGTAGTAGTAGTAGTACTAATAGCAGTAGAAGTAGTATTAGTATTGCTATTAAGTATTTATAAAACATTTCAACAAACAGTTTTCATTTTGATGCATCACTAACAAATTTAAGCAAAATGAAAAAGGCTACTTAGCATTTCGCTCTTAGGAAAATGAGTCTAAAGGAAAGGGGCTCCCAAGTGCAGCTTGGGCTCACTGCTTAACTTACGGTGAAAAAATATAAAATGTTTTGGCTGGTACAGTAATTGGACAAATTCTTAATTTCTACACTTCAAACACAAACTGGGATCGCTAGCACTGCAGCACTGATGCTGCATTATTCAAGCTCTGATTAAAAAGATCCAGTTTGGCTGCTTATAAATTAGCTCTGCCTCAGCAGAGTCCATTCAGGCATCAGTTTGGAATAGATTTTATTCCAGCCATCCGTAGTCTCGGGTCTTTTGGAGAAAAAAAAACATGATCTTATGTGAGCCTGAAGTTGCCTACACACAAGTCCTGAGAGAGGTTGTGTCCATGACCAGATGACCGCTTCACTGCTCGTGCTCTCAAATCTGCCTCTCCATGTTTGTGAAGTGCTTGACTCTCGGCTGTGGCGAGACAGACAGAGGCACTGAAGCATGCCGCTGGTCCCCACACATCCAATTCTTCCATCACACTCTTTCTTTCTGCTCAGTGACTTTTTCCCCTCAGTTGGCTGTCCACTCTGTTGCATTCCTCCATCCAAGCTGAATATAATGAACACACGTTTGGGGGTGGGTGTTCTAGCTTTCCTTTTCCTGGGGTAGTGGAGCCTTGACGGGACAGTGGTGGCTTGACAGTTAAGGCTCCAGGTTACTGATCAAGAAGGTCAGGGTTCAAGCCCCAGCACTGCTAAGCTGCCACTGTTGGGCCCTTGAGCAGGGGTGCTGTATCGTGGCTGACCCTGCACTCTGACCCCAACCTTTTAACATGCTTGGTTATGTGGGGGGAAAAAAAGAATTTCAATGTGCTGTAATGTATACGTGACCAATAAAGACTCAATCATTATCCTCGAGTATGTCCTGAATTTTGGTTTCAGACAGTTCTCATTTTGGTGCATGACTAATGAATTTATTCAAAACAAAAAGACAATTATACAGTACCTTTAGACCTAAAGAAAATCAGCCTAAGTCTTCACTTTAACAAAGGCATGTCCCTCATCAGGCTTTGGGTCACTGTGTAATCCCCATTAATTTATGGTTTTAATGTGTTCAAAAAACAGACAAGGATGGAAAAAAAAAAAAAAGATCTGCTCTCAGATCTCCAGCAGAGGAAGAGACTCTTTTAGCGCCTCATATCCAGACAGCATGTTAGGAGCGTATTAAAAAGTAATTGGTCCTGCAGAACTGGAGCAGGTGCGAGAGGAGCACTATCACTTCTCTCGAGAGATCAAGCTGAACTTCAAAGAAGTCAGTTATCTTTCGGGGCAGAAAGTTTGGCAAGTCATTAAACTTCTCCTCTGTGTTACTCATTAGAATTTGCATAATTGTGACTGGATGCGATAAAGATCACGTAACCTATCAAGCACAATCTTTAGTCTGTGAGTCAGTGATGATTATAGGAATATATATCCACTTGAGAGAATTCAGATAATAGCAAAGGAACTGGAGGTAAATTGGATCGTGAGAATAGGGAACTCTTTGATTACATCTAAAAATGAGAAGAAATTTCTACAACTGTGTGACAGCAACAGCTGTTAAAAAGCGTAATGACACATGTGCTCCAGAAAATCAAGAGGCAAGCTCTCCTATTTCAAGTCAATAGGAAGAAAATTCCCAGACCTCGGTGCCATGGCAACAATGACAGAAAAATGAATTTCAAATTATTTACAGGTCCTCTAGAACGTTCAGTGTAGTCCAATAAAAAGGTCCAGTCAGGTGGATCGAATGCTTATTTTTTGAGGGTGAAAGTGAAAACTAGCACCAGCGAACATTAGAAGGACCAGAACAGAAGGTCACTGAAGAGAAGCTATGGAAAATTAAACCGGCTTCCACTTTCCACAAGCCCCGTGCTGGTGTGGAGAAAAGAAAAGAAAAGAAAAAAAAAAACCTAGGGTAAAAAAAAGATCATTATTGCATCAGTTTTGAAAGTGAGGCTTAGCGAACCTGACTCATGACGGGTTATTTCAGAGTTCCTCAGACACCGATACAGAGTTATGCATAATTCAGCATGACCTGCGCTATCCCATAATATTCTGTTGGTTAAAAACTCCAAGCTCTAAAACCTCTTTCCAGTTCTCTTTTTCAGATGCAACCAAATAAACATCATATACCATACTCCTTCCTTTCTTTATTTCTTTCTTTTTCTGTTTGTTGCTGTTTTTTGTTGGAATTGTATGTTTGTTTTTGTTTCTATTTCTTTCCTTCTTTCTTTCTTTCTGAGACAGCCACTCAAAATGGGAAAAATAACATTCTCTCCTATATTTGGTTGTTTGTTTTAGTTTCTATCTTTCTTTCAATGCTGACTTTGTTTTGTTTAGTTTGGGGTTTTTTTGGGGGGGGGGGGGGGGGGGTTTCTTTTCTTTCTTTCTGGGACAGACAATCAGAATGGGACACAAAACAATCTCTTCAATATTGTATTTATTTATTTGTTTGCATTTCTTTCTTTCTTTCTTTCTACATTGACTTTGTTTTGGGGGGATTTGGTTGAAGTGGGGGTTTTGTTTGTTTGTTTGTTTGTTTGTTTAGTCTGTTCTTTCTTTTGGAGACAAACAATCAAAATGGGACACAAAACAATTTCTGCTATAGTGTGATTATTTATTTGTCTGTTTCTACCTTCTTTCTTTTTCTGACACAAAAGAATCTCTCTTATATGTACTGTCTTCCTTTCTTCTTTCTTACTTTATTCTCCATTGACTTTATTTAGTTTTTTTTGGTTTGGGTGGGGGTTTTGTATGTTTGTTTGCTTGTTTCTTTCTGTCTTTATTTATTTATTTGTTTGTTTGTTCTTTCTTCTTTTCTTTCTTTCTTTCTTTCTTTGACAGACAATCAGAATGGGACACAAAACAATCTCTGCTATATTGTGTTTATGTATTTGTTTGTTTGATTGTTTCTACCTTCTTTTTTCTCTCTGTATGGCGACGGACAGACATGTCAGATTAAAACCTGTGCTCTGAGTGGCGTATTCCACAGGAAGTGAGTGCAGGTCAACAGGAACAGGAGCAGAAGTAGTGGACAGCACCCAGGTGGGAGGGAGGGATAAGGGGGACTAGCAGGGGTTAGGAACAGAGCCGTGTCGTCCACAGCACTCAAAGACACTCACCACACAAGAGCACTTTGGTAAAGAGAAAGGTGCCATGAAATCCCATGCAGTAGTAAAAGCCTCCTGCTTCCTCCCCTGCACCACACTCACATTCCCTGCCTTTCATAGCAACCTGTAGAGAGGCATTTTAACAGGAAAGAATAAAAAAAAAACTCACAGACACCATGAGGCTAGAATAGTACAGGTACACTGAGAGACTGAGCATGCCAAGCCACTAAAGAAGTGGTAGACAGTATTAAAATAAACTTTTCTAGGTGTACAGAAATTCAGCATTATTTCTCAGATAAATACTTCTCCCCGCTGTTGCTATGATTGTGTAATCTTTTACTTGACCCGCTGAGAGCATCACAGCACAGCTACCGATAAAAAGATCAGGAGTTCACATCCCTGCTGCAGACAACATGCTGAGAATCCTAGAACGCTACACCTCCTTAATCTGCTTTTCTCTTGATCCCTAATCCCACTGTTGTCTTCTTCCCTCCTC